CATTAGAGCTAACAGAAAAAATGTTTCTTCAGTAAATGTGCTGAAGAGAAAAATGAAGCAAATGAATGAGATATTTTAGTGTGTTCAGAACTTGAACCTATGCTTATATGCCTAATATATGATTTTAGACTGCTGTTGTAAAAAAGTTTCTTTTAAGCCAATCATTGGTATTCAAACAGAAGGTTAAATTACAGATACCTGGGATTAATAAGACTTTTATTTAGACAAACTTCCCACTAGTGTAACTGTAGTTTTCAAAGCTGAATTTTTAAAATTACGCTCCTTAAGCCACAGCAGGTCTCCTAGTTAAAAACGTGACTTGGCCCTCGGATATCAAGCACTATAGCATTTCTTTCAAGTGTCTGCCAAGTCAAAGTATGAAGTAAAGATGAATATGTTTTTGTTTTGGATCCTAAGCATAGATTTAGAGACTTTATTTCCTGTCATTCCAGTGTAACGGACTTGTCTTCCACATGACAGACACAACTTGAAAAAATATATGTGAGACCGAAAGTAGGAAAACTGCAACAGATACAAAGAAGGCAACAACTCTCTTTGATAGTGCAACTTCTCAGCTACAAAATGCTATTTTTCGATATAGTCATCGCTATGAACTGATTCACATAAGTGAGCTGATCAAGACAGTCTTCATTTTGTGATGTGGCAGCCATTCTGAAGATAGCTTCTCGCTCATGTCACTGTTGCCACTGCTGAAATGCATCACTCACCACCTCACTGCTCATGTCTGCTCTTTGGTCTCCATAAATGTTGATAGTTATCAATGGGTGCCATTTTTTCTGCATGGAGGAATTCAGTGACACACCTTTCCTTCATCCACCCTTTCACTTCAGATGCCATTGTGTCAGACTGCCCCTCTGTTGCCATCTGATGTGCAGCAACAAAATGTAATGGAATATTGGTGGGAAGGTTCAGCCTCTACAACACCCGTCTCCAACACTGTGGCCAGCATAACAAAAGAGGAGGCGCTACATTCAGAGGAACTCTGCTACATAAATTCTGCTGTTTTTCTCTCAATCCCCACATGCTGTACATGGTCATGAAACTTTTGGGGGCTTAATGAACAAAATGAAATTTTATCCTTTCTTTACTGAGATTTTAGAGCTGAAGTATTATCTTTGAAGTTTTGCAATGTCAAAATTCTATGAAAGATGGCTCATCTCTTTATAATAGCGTTTATTTTCTCACTGTCCTCTGTTTGGGAGTGCTTTTCAGATAGGTAACTATTATGAGAAGACTAAAGTAAATCTTGATTACATCTAAAAACTGTGAAATATGAAATTCAGGGCAATCAGGAACTGAACTCCCCCTGTACTATGGTTGACTGATGTATGAATCCTAGTTCTGTCAGGACACAATAAGAATCATAGATCTTTCTTCTGAATAATTTGACAAATCCATTGGTAATCTGTAATTTCCATAGCAAGTTTTGGAAATGAATATGTTTACCTTCAAATTATGCAAATTATTATATTAAAGACTCCTGACTTACTGGTCTCACTGTCTATCTGCAAAATAAATGAGAATGAAGGCTCTGCGAAACAGGATAACAGAGATAAGACAAACATTTTTGGGAAAAGAAATGCAGGGAAGATTTTTATGTGAATCATCACCAGGCTGAGCATGGTATATCTTCTGTGCATCCTCTTTCCCTGCTAAGAGACAGTTGAATTAAGGGATGGAGCTTACCGACCTTTTAGTCCTGTTCACAGGATCACAGAATGGCTCGGGTTGGAAGGGACCTCAAGGATCATGAATCTCCAACCCCCCACCACTCTTTTGGAAAAATCTGACTGCAACCACGCATGCCTTCAGTATATACTCTAGGTATGTTCTTCAACCTAAAATCTCCTCCATAGTTTCCCTCCAGCTACCTGATATGTATATCAGTGATATATAGCAAAGATACTACAAATTATCTGAAGTGAGGTGGCTGTACCTGTTCTGCAGTCACTCAATTATGAGTTTTCTCTTGGCAAAGGATAAATTCTACTGCCTTGAAACATTGCCATTTTTGTTTGTCTCATTGTTTTACATTTGTTTCAGCATTTCAGTGTCCAAAAATAACAAGAAAATTGTGTCACATACTAGGAAAATGTTTATATAGACTGGTTCTGGGGGTGGACATGACATTCAGCAGGGAGTAGCCCGAGGTTGCAAAGCTTGCTGAGCATTTGCTGACAAAGGAAACTAGGTGTCTTATTCCAGAGGTGCTTGGAGAAAAATAGCGTGAGTGCAGTCAGATCTTCAGGAATTAACTTAGATACAGGACAAAGTATCTGTGTAGGCACATTTTGAAGGTTACTCTCATTGGAAATAGAACCCTGTAGTGGGCCAGTTGTAGTGGTATCTTACAGGCTCTTGCAGCTTCCAAATAGTGTAATTAGCTGCTTTTCCTACAGGGTTGCTCTAAACTTTGGATACTGGCTGGCTCTTGATTAGGGAGAATAAGTAATTCCTTCAGCTGTTGCTAGGAAAGGGCCCAAATGAGATGCTACTGGTTCAAGAGTGTGAGCTCCTAGATATTTTGCTGGAGGGCAGGTGAAGTTTGAGAAGTGGGGATTTCTGAAGTGAAGGAAACTTCTGAGTCCTGGTACCAAGAGGATGTGGGACTGGAAAATGTATTCTCTGAGGCTCCCAAAATGTCTGAATTTAAGACAGTGTGTATTCTTCTTCCATGTGTACCAGAAGGATGTATTTCTCTCCTTTACAGCTCTTCTCCAGATCCAGCAAGTCCTCTGTGCCATTTGTTCTCCATAGTGCCTCTACCATGTGTAAGTCAGCATCCCATTCCACTACCTCTTAAGGAGGTGAAACTCCTTATTATTCTGCACACTTGTTGGTACCTTATGTTTCCCAATTCCTGTTTAATTTCTCAGTGCTGTCTTTGTCTGTACTTGATCTGTTCTGACTCAGAGGATGGTCAGATGTTCATGAAATGGAGATCCTGCTTCACCAATCGGATCTCCATCTATGGCCAAGTTACTCACCTGGTGTAGGGAAAGGATGTGGATGTAGTCTACGTAGATTCTATTAAAGCTTCTAATGCTATCTCCTGGAGAAGCTGTCAGCCTATGGCTTGGACAGGTACACTCTGCTGGGTAAGGAACTGGCTGGAGGGCCAGTCTCAGAAATGGTGGTGAATGAACTTAAATCCAGCTGGCAACTAATCACAAGTGGTGCTTCCAAAGGGTCAGTATTGATGCTTATCCACTTTAATATCTTTACTGATGATCTGGATGAGAGGATTGAGTGCACTCTCAATAAGTTTGCAGATGACACCAAGCTGGGAGGAAATATCGATCTTCCTGAGGGTAGAAAGGCCTTTCTGAGGGATCTGAACTGGCTAGATCGATGGGCTGAAGCCAGTCGTGTGAGCTTTGACAAGACCAAGTGCTGTATTTGGCACTGATGACGTCTTGAGTACTATGTTCAATTTTGGGGCCCTCACTACAAGAATGACACTGAAGCATTGGAGTGTGTGCAGAGAAGGGCAATGAAGCTGTGAAGGGTCTGGAGCACAAGCCTGCTGGTGAGTGTCTGAGGAAACCGGGATTGTTTGGTCTGGAGAAGAGAAGGCTCAGGGGTGATCTTATAGCTCTACAACTCCCTGAAAGGTAGGTTCCAGAGATACACCAAAATCCTTCAAGCAGATGCTAGCTCCTTGACTATTTTATAGATTTCTGTGCTCCTATCCTGACTACAGATCATCACTGTTTCAGGTATGGCTTAGTTCATGTTACATTTTGTGGCTGTTCTTAATGAGTTTGCAATTCTTGCAGGTTTAACTCTACTGCCAGAGTTGTTATATTTATCTCTGAAGTGCAAATATGATACTTTTCTAGTGTAATGAAGTGACTGTGCAATCATTCATATCCTCCAACAATGGTGTTTTTCATCTTCTGTTGAAAAGCAGTTTTAGAGAAAAGCATATCAATTCCAATACTATCAGGGTTAGGAACAAATCTTTCTGTGCTTCAGCAAAAATATGCTAACTTTGGGAAACAAGGAAAGTGTCTATGTAAAGGAACTGGGTGTATATACTGCTCTCACAAATGTCAAGTATATGGTAGGCCAAGTAGTATCACTGAGAAGGAGAGGTGTTCCCCATAGTTCTCTTACCCTGAACCTGGCTGTCAGAGCTTAGTGCTGGGCAGAACTGTATATCTCCAGAGGAAGGGCAGTTTCTATCTCAGGTAACAAAGTAGCTGTATTTGGCACAAAATCTCATTTCCAATTAATACTTGCTTAAACATTGCTTTATGACCTTTATGGAACATAACACTCCTCTCAACAGGCTGGCTTTGTCCCGTGGTCTTATCTCTGATTGGAGTAGAGATGTGTTCATGTGAATATGGCAGCCAAGAAAATTAGCTTCATCAGCATTTAGCTTTATCCTTTTAGATTATCTGTATTTGAGGCCATGTAATGTTTAACAGAGGAAAACAGCAGCGTGAGTAAAGCAAAAAGAAAGAGCACAATCCACGCAAGTGCAGGACCTTCTGAATGCAATGTAAGTACCCAGATATCTTTACTGTAAAGTCTTTGGTGCAGCTATATGGCATTTAGCTAGTGAGTCGTGAAGTACATCTGCTTTCAAAGGAGAAACTTGGTTTCTAAGCACTCAAATGACAGCAGAATTTAATTTCCAAGAAATACTGAATAGCAAATTGTGGAGATACATTACAGCAGCTCTACAAGTATAACTCTACTATGAATATTTATCCAAAACACCTCTTTCAAATCTAGAAGAAATCATTTTACTTAAGGAGAGGGAAAATATTCTGACTTTCCAAGTCACTCTGGTTTGATGTCATTACTGAGGTTCTCTAAAGTTTGTGATGTGATAGCCAAAGCTCCGAGGTAAATGAGGTATCTTATTTACATCAGTGTGGTATAAATAATAACCAGGATACATAAAGTTAAGTTTGCTGAGAGGAGGGTTCCCTAGTCATACAAATTTTAAACAGACAGGATAGGCCATGCCTACTCTGGTGGCCTCACCATCTTATCGCTGTTGTGGGGTTGGACAAATAGAGGAACCATCTGGAAGACATGCATTAGTTGAGTGATGGTTTAAAATAAAGCAATGTATTCTGATCTAATCAGATGTTAAAGCAGGAAAATGTTGCTAGCGCGCTTGTGATTATTCACTTTATGTGTTAAAAATAATCGGGAATGAGAAAGATGATGTTTTGATTATTGTAAATCTTTATTGTTTTCCACTGAATAGCTCTGTCACTTGACGTAAACCTCTTACAATCACAAATATTGTATCTCACATGAGAGCTCTTAGAGGTAAACACAGAGACGTCAGAGTTGTTTCTGATGTGTCACCACATCATAAAATGGATCTACAGCGAGATGAAAAAAAACCAATAAGCCTTTTAATTTACTCTCTCCCTCTGAATCATGTTTCCCTTTAATAATCACATGCTACTCTCTCAACAAGCACCCAGTAACAAGGGACTTGTGTAGCTGGAGGAAAGCAGAACTGGAGCGGGTAGTAATTGATATGAATTACATCTGAGATCAAAGCAGGAGTGTTTCAAAACTATGTCATAATAAAGGAGCAGGCCAGGAGATTAACAATGTTAATAACTTCTGTAGGCAGCAGCAGATATAAATAAAAGATGAAATGTTCACATGCCATTCTCCAGAGTCCAACACAATTTATTTTTGTCCACACAGTAGTTGAAAAGTATGATGAAGACCATCCTCCTGCTATACTTGCTGTTGGCCATCCTTTCCCCTGCAGTCCCCAGCATGAGACAGACTGACCATCACAATGAAGAGCCCAAGGTAACTCACCTCCATGAGCAGCATCCTCATGAGGAAGATTCTCTTGCTTTCTGCCAGCATATAATACCCAGCAACACAGACTTTGCCTTCAGGTTTTACAGGCAAGCAACTGTCCAAACACCTGGCAAGAATATTTTCTTCTCCCCAGTCAGTGTCTCTGCTGCCTTTGCCCTGCTGGCCCTGGGCTCCAGAGCCACAACCCAGGCTCAGCTGCTGGAGGGGCTGGCCTTTAATCTCACCAACAACAGGGAGGAGGAGATACACCGTGGCTTTCATCATCTCCTTCTCTTGCTGAACCGTCCTGGCAGCCAGGTGAAGCTGAACATGGGAAATACCTTGTTTGTGGACAAACACCTGAAGCCACTGACAACATTTCTGAAGGACATAAAAAAACTGTACAAAGGGGAAATTATTTCTAGTAACATTCAGAATTCTACTGAGGCTAAAAAAGAGATCAATGATCATATAAAAAACAAAACCCATGGGAAGATAAATCAAATACTTAAAGACCTTGATCCAAACTCTTTAATGGTACTTGTTAACTATATTTATTTCAAAGGTAAGTTCAGTTATACAGATGCTACTGCAATATTCAAGTTTTCCTTGGACTGAAAAAAATCCCAGATTATTTCTGAATTGTTTTTAAAAGAAAGACAGTGTTAAAACTATAAGAAACATTGCAAATTCACATGCTTTGAAGCCTCTTAATGCATCTACATTTTTCTGGCTTTTTTTTAGGTTTGTAAGCACAAAAATTCACTTATTTGCAATCTTCAGGTTTTATGTACTTACCAGAGCATGGAAAATTCATGCATTTGTGGGTTTTTCTATCAGACTTCTGTTTTATAGCAAAAATTATTCTGCCGTATGTATATATCCTATGTGAAGAAACAAAATAAATTCCAAAGATTATAAAAAATGACAAAATTTAATTTACTACAATCCAGGCTTATTAAATGGGTACATATCTATGGAGGTGGGCTCTAAGTGTTCTACAGCCAGTCATCACATTATATATATACACCAGCAGGTACTTGAGAATGTGCTGCTTTAGCAATAATTAACTTCTTAAAGGTAATGTCCATTTGTAGCAGTGTGCAGGACATTTAATTCTCCACCCAGGAAGGTGGTAATAGGTGGAAATAGAACAGCATTCAGTAAAATAGCTTTCACTTCAAGTACTCTATTAAATCTAGGCACCCTAGTCAGAAGGTACCTTCCTTATGATAGGACAGGAAAGAGTTCAAACTTATAAAGTAGTTAAAGTACTTCAGTGTTTATATTCAACTACTTCAATACTTCAATATTTAAAAAACAAGTGCACTTAAGTTCTGAAAGGACAAACTGTGATCTGTGTGTATTTGTTCAGTGAATGACTTGATTTAATACAAGTAGAATACCATTAAAAAGTCATTTGAATAAGAATGTAAGGTTAAAGCTTTAGAAGCCCCATTGCACTGACTGTAATGAAGTTATTATCAGACCCGAAAGTTCAGGTTGTTCTTTCATTGAATTTTTTCCTTAGTGCTACTAGATGAGGAACAGATGAGAAAGCATAGAAGGAGCTTAGCGTGCCATGTTTAAAAAGGCAGTCATCTGCTGTGGAACTTGCTTAACAAGCAAAGTGGTTGTAAATTAACTCATTGGATCCTAGCTAGGCACTTCTTTTTCTTCAGATTTTTCCTCTTCTTCAAATAAATTTAAGATAACATCATGAAGTTATCTCATTTGATTTATCTGTCTTGCAACACCTTTCTGAAGTCTAATCTTGGATATTTGTTACTTGAACATATTATAGTGGAGATGATATGGAACAAGAGCTTGAATAAATTTTGAATTCCTCTAATCTTCAATTATGAGCATAAATCTTTTGATACGGATGTATTTGGTATAAATTAGACTAGACTATACTAATATATCCTCCTTAAAATAAGCATGCAACTGTGTTCTTTTTCTTTTACTTTTAAGCCTACTGGGAAAATCCTTTCAATATGAAGGGGACTCACACGGATTATTTCTATGTGAATGCAAAGACGTTGGTTGAAGTGAAGATGATGATTCGAGATAGCTTTTATGACATATATTCTGACAAGAAGCTGTCATGCAAGGTGGTGAGGATTCCTTACCAGGGAAATGTTTCAGCATTGTTCATTCTGCCCAATGAAGGAAAAATGAAATGGCTGGAGGATGGTCTGATGAAAGACACAGTATCTAAATGGGAAAAATCACTTGAAAGACGGTAAAGTCTAATTTGATGCTTCACAGCAGTCAGAACCTGAGGTCTAAGCACTGTAATCAAGTTTTACAGTTATAAGGTTTTCTTTCTCATTAGAGGTTTAAGTAATGGGACCGGCATAAGTGAACAGACTGAACAATTCGATGATTTGAGACACAGCAGCAATTTGAAGTAGCACTGCTTTGTCATGAGGGAAGAGATTTGTGAGCTGGGAAACAGCTTCTCTTTCTATACATCTTCTAGTTGATCTTCATTATCTCCATTTCCTTTTCTCAAATATAATATGTTAACAGTGGTACTACTGTGACATAGAAACTAGTTTCATTAGAGAAAATGGGGTATGATTTAAAAGAGAAAAATAAATCTTGAGGACTAGCAAATGAATGCAAATGTACCCACAAAGGTGCTGGCACTACCGCTGCTTGTTGTCTATTCAAGGGGTGATTGTAAGACTGGAAACAAGCTCTAAGTAATGTCTTTCTCATACTACATTTTTCCATCATCCTGACCATAGTCTTCCCACATTTTTGCTGTCATTTTTTCTATATTTGAAGACTAACATTTTAGCACAGAATTATCAGCAAGTTGAGAGACTTCAAGTTATACCTTGATTATAATAACCACCATAACTCTCTTTTAAATCAACAGGAGGATGGAAGTGCATATTCCAAAAGTATCCATTTCTGGCACCTATGACTTGAAGAAGATGGTCATGAATCTGGGTGTAACAGATGTGTTTTCTGACCAGGCTGATCTGTCTGGAATCACAGGAAAATCCGATCTGAAGGTTTCAAGAGTAAGTTGGTCAACAGAAAAGTCTGTATATTTGTCAATTGCCTTGATTTAAGCTATGTTCCAGAATAATTCTTAGTCCTGAGAATGATTGATAACTCTGTGAATTTGAACATTTTATCTTGTAGAGCAACTTTAAATTCTTTCAGAATTACTCAAGATCTGAAAATAAAAATACTGCCTTCCTTCTGGCAGCCTGAAGTTGTGGCAAAGGCTGGGAGGCTTATATAAATTTTCCAGGAAAAAAATATTTTCAGCATGCAAAAGGAGATTCCATCTTTTGGAGTTGCTTTGCATGAGCATGTCTAGTATAAAAAGTGGCACCTTTTCTTTAATGCATGTGTGTGATTCTATAATTTTAAAGGACTTTCAAATTATTTCCATAGAATGCACTGGCAAGTGCTAATCACATAAGAGGGACCAGGCTACAGGAAACTCTCCTGTTTCCTGGGAAGAACAGATAATACAAAGATAAATTAACACTCTTATGGGCATTGCACAAGCAGTAACTTTAACATTATAATATCTTGGTTTAATGAAACAAATGCTGAAAATGCAAAAAAAAAATTTTTGTATAGATATTTATTTTCTACTGACAAAGGTTTATTTAATCCATGAGGTATTAAGTATACAGACAGAACAGCTCTGGAATTTGAATTTTTTTCCTTCTGAAATAGTAATTCCTGCTCTGAATTCAACTGTTCTGCCCTGACACACATGGTAAGAAATATCGAATGGAGCAAATGTTACTCATAGAGACAACATTGCTAGAACACCTACCACGGACTAAGTTTTCTTCTTCTTAGTTCCTGACCTAGCAGTCATTTCTTTGAAAGACAGGATGTGAATTAACTTTGTGCCAGTTTTAGTCATTCCACTCCCATACTGTGTGTACAGTAATGCTTGCTGTGTTTCCTTGTAGGCTATTCACAAGGCTCTGCTGAATATTCACGAGAATGGCACAGAGGCTGCATCAGTCACTGGCACAGAGTTTGCTCCTCATTCAGTTCCTCCTGTTATAAAGTTCAACCGTCCATTTTTGCTGTTGATTGTTGATCAGTACACTCAAAGTATCCTCTTCATAGGAAAAATTGTAAACCCACTGAAAAATGATTGATCAGTGGCAGGTCTTACTGATTTGAATTGCACTTTATGAATTTATAGTCTGATGTAATTAAAATTCTATCAAATCTCTTAGTAATAATTTTATTTTTTTCTAAAAATAATCAAGACAGGAATGTAGTCATTCTTAAAATCACCGTCCTTGCTCCGTCCATTAGAAATCAACTACAATGATATGCTCACCAGTTACTTATGAAGCAGTGTATATATCAGTCTTCTAATGACTAATACATGCTATTATTGAAAAATAAGGTAAGTATCCAGCTGAGAGAAGCAGTTTAAAACCTGTTCAGTATGTAATAAATGAAAAAGCAGGCTGCTACTGAGTAGTGAGTAGGAAACTAGGAAAATACTGCTGTGTTCTCCAGCTGTCTTGGTCCTGGAGGGATAACATGGAAATTTAGAATATAAATGCAGTCCACCTGGAGATATCTTAGGTTTTCTCTTCCAGGTGGATCTTATTGATGGGAAAAGGTCATGTATTTGCATGAGAAAATGATTGCTTGGCACTCTGAGGATGTCTGTACCAATCTGATATCTCCTTATGCAGCCTGATGGATCCAAGGTAGTATCAAAATTCAGAGTCAAATTGTGGCACTTGGAAGGGGCTGGAACACCAAGAAAAGAAAGACCTGCTAACAAACACATCCAGGCTTTTGTGATATCAGCCTGACTCCATCTCTGTTCCACCGTTTGGATTCAGGAGCAGCAACTATTTAAGAAGTGTTAAATACAGTTATCTTTCTCAGTGTGTTGTTCCTCATTTTCTTAAAGTTTGACTCTACAAATCATGAAGGCAATTTGAAATTAGAACAAGTTCCTCAGTGGAACCTGACCTTTCTAAGGCCACTGCTACCCATCACACCTATTTTTGTAATCAGACTATTTGACTTAGTCACAGGATATTCAAGAATATGCATGTTTGCAATCCTCCCTTACCTGAAGACAGACAATCCTACGTCTCCAGCATTCTAATTAAGCTGAAACTGCAAGAGAAGAGTTAGCATTAGATCTGAAGTGCTGTTAAGGATATTTTCCTGGAGGATAGAAATCCATGTCTACTCCTCCCTGAACGGAGGCTGGTATAATGTTGAGTTTGGCAAATAAATCCTGATGAACTCTACAAAGAGTGCTGTTGAATGGATAGTGGATGAAGCAGTGATAATCTGAAACATTGGTAGGGCTTCTAGGAAAAAGGAGATGTAACTTCAAATTATAGGGTGGGAGGATAGTGATCATTCCCTTCCAGACACTAGAAGGACAAGTTTTTTGCTATGTTCTCAGTTAGAGCATTCGTAGCTTATGGTATGAATGCCCAGAGCTGCCAGCCTTGTGTTGTGTTTTTCAGGTTTCCCTTTAAGGCAGTGAACACTTGACAAGCATCCTAATGGAAGCAGAGACTAAAACAGACACTCAAAAAATGTTACTTGCCTTGCCATATAGCTTTAAACCTGTGGTTCATCAAGAAATTATAGTTCAGAAAGGATAGGTTATAAATACCTGGAAGGAATAAAACAGACACAGATTTATTACTATCCCAGAGTTTTTACCTATGTTTATAAATAAAATGCTCCAAGGTCTGTACTCTCTCTTTCCATGTTGCTTAACTCTGACCCTACAAGACACAAGAGCTGTTTACTGGGAATAATATTTGGTTTACTTTAAAGCTCCCCAAAATGCCCATGATATATCTGGAAAGATTGCAGCTGGCATGAACAATACCTGCATCAGGAACTGTGTTAAATACGTAAGAAAATGAGTGGTTGTAGGTTGTTAGTCAACCCTACGCTCCAGAATTACCTGATATAATGGAGCCAGAATGTGAACCCTCCTCTGTTATTAAGCCCTATAAGCTCCTGCCCAGCATGTGACGTTTCTGTGAATGCTACTTAGTCTCTGGCCAAGATGAAAGGCCTTCACCAGCTACTTGCCAAAAATGAGGTGGCCAGGGACTGTTTTTCCATCTTTGGAACAAACAATCAGTTCAGGAAAAGCTCTTTGAAACAAATGCAAGCCAAAAACTGTAAAATTACCATGCATTTGCTATAGATATATCTTGGTGCTTTCTTCTGACCAGTGCTTTGAGTCTGCTGCCACATTAAATGCATGGATATTGGAAATGCATGGAAATTCCAATATCCATGCATTTAATGTGGCAGCAGACTCAAATGCAGCAGACTCAAACGCTTCAAAAGTGTTGAAAAGGACCTCAAAAATCATCTAGTTTCAACCCCCCTGCCATGGGCAGGGTCACTACCCATTAGACCAGGCTGCCCAGGGCCACATCCAGTCTGGCCTTGTCCAGGGATGGAGGTATGACCACCTGAAGTGAGATTTCTGTTATGTGAAATAGAATCACACTCTGATAATAAAATAACCTTCTTTCCTTCTGGAATTCTACACAGAAGAAAATAATGGTGTTATTTGATCTTCTTTGTGTGATTTATATCTAGCAAACTATGAGTTCATGTGAAATTTTAGTTTTGAGATTCTTACTGACTTAGTAAAAGAGGGAGTGCACAAAGCAGAAGGGGCCTGCTTTCTATTCTCAGTTCTGTCACTAACTTTCTCCTTGGCCTTCAGCTTTCTTTTTCCTTCTGTAAGTCACGTTGTTTTGCAATTGAAGCCAGCAATATTTTCCTTATCCAATAAGAAAAGTCTGAATATTTGGAAGACATACAGAGTTTATAGTTATAATGCCCTTCAGAGAAATAAATAAAAATACATAGATGAATTTATTTTTATTCTAGCTGCAGCAATTTTGCAATGACACCAATCTCTTGATTTTAATTGAGTTATATATGTCAACGGGTTTATGTATATGAGCTTTTGCAGACAGATCTTAAGTGATATATTTTCGTAAGACAACAAGAAATGCCTGCATGAAGAATTATCACTTGAAGTTCACATTTCTCTTGCTCTTTCTTATCATCTTGCTGGTGTTTTTCTTCCATACACAAAAATCTTCTGCCCTGAAAAACTTAGAAATATGACTTATAACACTGCTACACCACAATTTGAAGACCAAGCAAGGATTGGAGTAGCTTAATGATTGGTCATGAAACTGCTCTTGTAAGGAGGAACCAAACTCATTGTGTAATTCAGCTGTTACAAGCAAACAGCATGAAAAGAGAGAAATTATTCCTTAGTTCCTTGCACATAGACCATTATCAGGCCAATTGGAAAGCACTTTTTTCAGTCCTTTGTAAGACTTCCCTGGCTCCTGGAGCAGGAGGAGTCCCTCCATCCCAGCCACTGCTTACCTAGTGATTCTTACCTAGAAGCACACTGAATCATAGAATCACAGAATGACCAGGGTTGGAAGGGACCTCAAGGATCATGAATCTCCAACCCCTCTGCCACATGCAGGGCCACCAACCTCCACATTCAATACTAGATCAGGCTGCCCATGGCCCCTGTCTGGCCTTGAACACCTCCAGGGCTGGGGCATCCACAACCTCTCTGGGCAGCCTGTTCCAGCACCTCACCACTCGGGGATGTCGGGGGGAATTTCCCCCGACATCCAACCTAAATTTCTCCTCCCTCTACTTAAAACCATTTCCCCTCGTCCTGCTGTTATCTACCCTTTCAAAGAGTTGATTCCCTTCCTGCTTGTAGGCTCTCTTTAGGTACTGAAAGGCTGCAATGAGGTCACCCTGCAGCCTTCTTTTCTCCAGGCTGAACAAGCCCAGCTCCCTCAGCTGTCCTCATAGGGGAGGTGCTCCAGTCCCCTGATCATCTTCATGGCCCTCCCCTGGACCCTCTCCAACAGCTCTCTGTCCTTGTACTGGGGGCTCCAGACCTGGACATAATACTCCAGATGGGGCCTCACAAGAGCAGAGTAGAGGGAGACAATCACCTCCCTAACCCTTCTGGCCACCCCTTTTTTTGATGGAGCCCAGGATACCATTTGCTCACTGGCCTGTAGTTTCCGGGATCCTCCTTGCTCCCTTTCTTATAAATGGGAGTGATGTAACCCTTTCTCTAGTCATCCGGGACCTCACCTGACAGCCATGACTTTTCAAGCACCTAGGGACTCTGCCCATCTCTTTCTAGTAAAACTCCACACAGGATTCCCAGCTTAGTCTCTTGTTTCTTGGTGACATCCATTCTAGGTAGAGGGTTTTCAGTGCAGCCATTTGCAACAGTGCTCAAAAAAAAAAAAAAAAAAAAGGAAAAAAACCTTCATTTTCCCTGGGACAAGTGCTGCAATCTAATAGATATCCATGAGGGGTTATTCCCTCTTATTTTCTATTACATTTGGCAGGAGAGAATCATGTTTTCCAAGGTATCTAATTGTGATACTCAGCAAAGGTCTGAGTGTGGTTATCTAACTGCAATCATGGAGAAACTGATTGCGTCCAAGTTTGCAGATGAAATTGTCATCTGTAAGCCTGATGTGACTGCTGGTCTAAATCTTGTCTACGATGAGACTTGGATCAGGGTAAGAGGAGGCAGTGTTTGGGATTGTTGAGTGTCAGAACACGTTCCCACTCTCTTCCTGTCACTTGAGTGTCACTGCATGATCTGGACGAAAACAGAAGAATTGCTGCTTTTCCCAGTGGTTCCTTCTTAATAATGGTAGGATCCTTTAGATGGTTAGCCAGGCCTTAGGGATGGATTGATAGATAAATATTATCTATATTGGCAAGCCAAGATTTGAGAAAAATAAATTGTATTTGCTGGAGTTAAGCAACAGCATGCTTGCTTCTGCTGAACCTTGATTATTACGTAACACTGCAGTAAAATTTCTGGCTGCATACATCATGAGAAAGAGCTCTCTGAATATAATTTCTGACTAACGCTTGTCTTTTAAGAGACACAAATGACATAACATTAATATGTTGGGTATATTCTTATGCATAAGAAGACATGTAGATTCACCTAGAGTTCATCACATACGTACATTCAATGGAAACAACTAGTCATTGTTAGGATTAGTGTCATGTAGTTCAATCTTAAATAACCTTCTAAGCAGCTGAACAGTGCCTCTGTATTTCTGCTCACTGAGAGGGATTCCACAATAAGTCGTATGTAATAGGTATATAAAACCTATCTATCCTCTGTATAAATATAAGATCTTTCCTTACTCCAGCTAATGTTTTGCCATGGTAAAGTCAGTTCTCTATTTTCTTATTGTGATAATTTTTCAAGCCACGTTGTTATTTTGCTTCTCATTCACTATTTCAATAATTTCCATCAACAGCCTCTCAAAAAACTAACCACTACTTCTCTTGACAAGAAGTTAAATGACAATTTGGTGAAGACTTTGAAGAATGCTACGGGGGCTGCTCTGAAAGTAATGCCTCCTATTTTATTATGTTAGCCCATGATGCCAGAGGTGATACGTGTTCTCAATATATGTTCTCAATAACATTCCATTACATGTTGTTGCCATGTGATAGATTGCAGTAGAGAGGCAGTCTGGCACAATGGCATCTGACATGGAAGTGCATATAAAGCAAAGATGTGTCATTGAATTCCTTCAGGTAGAAAAAAGTATACCTACTGACATTCATCAACACTTGCTGAACGTTTCTGGAGAGGTGAGCACAGTGAGGCAGAGAGTGGTGCATTTCAGCAATGGTGATAGCTGTGTGAAAGATGAGCCACATTTCAGGTGTACATGTACAGCTGCCACACCACAGAATGGATAGCATCTCAATGAGCTAGCTCACTCACACAAATCAGTTCATGGTGGTGACTATTACAAAAAAATAGCATTTTGTAGCTGAGAATTTGCTCTACCAAATAGTGTTATTGAGCTCTTTGTATCCATTTTTTTTTTCCCATGGAAAGAAATAAAAGGCATTACTTTTGGAGCAACTTACGTACTTAGAGTATAATTACAACGTGCCCTACAACATGAAGGGCAGTGTGGAGGTACTGAGCTGTTCCTGACCAAGCTTGTTGCCGCTTCAGGTAGCTGATTAGATGATATCCTTCTATCAGGATATGCCATGCGGAGAGTCCCCAAGACAAACTAACCTATTCACAACCAGACATCACTCAGGACCTATCTTAGATTTCCAGTTCACTTACTGTGTGGATTTCAAAAGCCCAAGGTAGTGTGCTATGCTACACTGTCTTGCAAAGTTTTTTGCCCACAGATTTGTTTAAATGCAAGAGTAGTATGAATCTTGCTCTTTTCACTCTGAGCCACAGATGTTGGCATCACTTCACTTGTATGTTGAAAAACAAGGTTGCAATGTTTGATATCTAGAAAAAAAAGTAGCTAACTCATTCTTTGCTTAACAAATAAATATTTGCTTTGATTAATATTTACCAATGAACATTAACTTAATGTTACTGAGCAAAACGGAGAATAAGGAAGTAGCACTGTGAATGAGAGGTCCAGCAGACTCTTTTTAAACTACACTGTGAGTACTATTATTATACTTCCTTAGAAGAATTTGAATTCATATTTTCTATGATCTCTGCAATTAAACACATAGTATTTAATTATGAGATGATTTTATTTAATATAAGTAGTTGGAAATTTATCTTCTAGAAGCATGATCTATACACTCAGAGCAGGATTCAGTCAGTGATGCAGCTTTTAGATACTATGTCAGAATGACAGGGAGATGAGGTCCAAAGTGAATATTCAGCTGCCATTGATACCAAGGTGAAACACTGAACCCTGCCTCTATTACCAGAGGAGTAAATTCACTTGCAGCTCAATGTCCTAGATACCCTAGGCTGATGCAAGACAAGTTCAGAAGCTGAGAATAACATAACTGATACCACAAGCATCCTCAAACACTAGAAAGAGTTAAGTGGCACTGGGGTTGATGCTAGTCTCTCTCAGACACAGATTTCTAGTTATATAAACAGCATTTACAGGAGCAAAGTGGATTGCTTTCATTTAGATTTTACTTTTTTTTTTTTTTTTTTTTATCTATAGTTTAATCTGGCATTTTAGACAAACTGGGAACAATTCCCACACTCAGCATTTACACATTTTAGATCTCAAGTGTTTCATAAAGGGCAGCCACATGAGGGGAAACCCAGATTTAATAACTGCCCATGAAATGTTTTATATAGGACCCAAACCTGGCTTCAGACACAATCTGAGGCAAACCATGGGGCAGATTCACACACTGTAGAATGATTATTTAGTTGCTCTGAACAATAACATTATCTCTGTTTTCCTGCAGTACACTATCTCCTTCATGTTTTCAAGATTTGTGATTGAGATAATTTATATGAGATGTTCTATGGAGAACATACTTACCCAATATCTCCTGAAAAGAGAAGAGAAACTGCAGGGTTATGTAGAATTTGTTTGTATCAGTTTAAGGAAGAGGAAAAGCCATCCATTTACCCAAATACACACACAGCAAGGCTGCATTTAAGCTATTCAGGAAGTTTCTGCTCTAGCTTTTTCTAAACTCTTGGGTGTTCGATTTTCCAGCCTTATGGATATTTTATGTGCAATGAAGAGATACAATAAACTTTCTTGCTTTATCCTCATTTTACTGAAACATGTAAGATAATGTTTGAAATGATGCAGTTCTTGAGTTCAGAGCTGCTGTGCCAGAGGCAGAAAGACACAGTTTAAATGGTGAAGCATCAGATGGATTCTCTTCTACTATAAGTGATGTTTTCTCTGTATTACTGCAGTGCATGAAAACCCAAGTCATCGCAAGATCATGGCTACTATACACTGCCAAAGTGCTTACTGAATGTATAGGAACAATATGTGAACTCAGTTGTGCGCACAGATACCCTTAGAAATGCAATAATGCCATTCTGGTCAGAGACAAGAACAATTTCAGATAAGATATCTCACGAAAGGCTACACAGAATCAGTTCTTCCCTAGTGGTGTCATGTTAATATCTTGGTTGGAAACAAATAGAGCAGACCAGAAATGGACTAGCCATGAGGCCCAATGGAAAGCAGAGTAGAAATCCTAAACACTGGCATATGAAAATTAGTATTTCAAATACAAAATAAATTGTTTTTATGCAGGAAAGATAACATTCTCTACAAGATAATTTCTTCTTTCTCAACAGAATTCTTCAGAAGGAAAATGAAGTCTGCACTGTATTTGTGTTTGCTTCTTGTTGTACTCCAAGTCCAGGCTCTTCCTAAACTCAACCACAGCAACAAACATAAACATGAGAGAGAGCAGCCTCATTCCCTAGGAGACCATTCCCATGTGGAACATGAAAACTCAGCTCACATGAAGATAACCCCCAGCAACGCTGAATTTGCATTTAGGTTTTACAAGCAGGTCACAGAAGAGGGAGGTAACAAGAACATTTTCTTCTCTCCCTTGAGCCTTTCTACTGCCTTTGCAATGCTCTCCCTGGGGGCCAGATCAAACACACTCAGCCAGCTGCACAAATGCCTCACCTTCAACCTGACTGAGATGGAAGAGCAGGAGATCCATGAGGGCTTCCAGCATCTCCTCCAGCTGCTGAATGACCCTCACCGGAAGATTCAATTGAACATGGGCAATACTCTGTTCATAGATGAGAGACTGGAACTGCAACAAAAATTTTTGGATGATGTCACAAATTTTTATTATTCAGAAGCTGTTTCTATGGATTTCCAAAATTCTGAACATGCTAGAGAGGAAATCAATAACTATATAAAAGAAAAGACCCATGGTAAATTTGTAGACTTACTGGATAGTCTTGATGAAGATGTTATGATGATTCTGACTAACTACGTTTACTTTAAAGGTGAGTGAAAAACAATGGTTAAGGTTATAAAAATAGGCTCTAGAAGTCTGATCCAAACTCAAGAATCAAAGTTTTTTTTCCCATGGTGAACCTACACTACCATCCAATCTAAAATATATATTTCTTCTTTTAAATGATATAAGGAAATACTTGAAAGTCAGGTACAAAGAATCATCTTTTATGAGTAAAAAAATAAAAAGGAAAAATATAATAGATAGAAGTATCAATCAATAGTATATCATCTCAAATTAGGCTCAGAGATGAAAGTATTCAAAAAGGATGCACTTGGGAGCTTATGATCATTTTTTGAAATGCACAGCTGTTTGGCTGTGCAGGATACAATCAAAATAAAACATGAATGAGACATAATAAAGAAGTAAGTCCAGAGAATGCATAAGGTCAGTCTATAGAAGTTTCATCACTGACTTAGCTGATGAAGGCTCAGGGCTTTTCCTCAACCTGTATTTTCTTTGTGTGATTTTTATTCAAATTACTGAAATGATTCACAGCTTCTCTCTATTGCCAAGATACAAGAATCCTTAAACTGAGATAGGCTTGTAATTGAATTTGCCATTCAAATATACTACCCTGAACATCAATTATTGTGTTACACACTTACTTGCCATTTTTTCAGGTTAATCGGCTCTATTCTCATTCTTTTGTCAACAGGTTACTGGGAAGAACCTTTTGAAAGTTACGACACCAGAGACGATGACTTCTTTGTGGATGCCAAGCATTCTGTTAAGGTTAAAATGATGTATAAAAGTACATACTATAATATCCATAGGGATGAGAAGCTGTCTTGCTGGATAGTAGAAATGCCATACACAGGAAATGCTGCTGCCCTTTTTGTTCTGCCTGATGAAGGAAGTATGAACCAGGTAGAAGATGCTCTGCTACAGGATACAGTGTCTAATTGGAGGCAATCACTTGAAGGAAGGTAATCCTTTGACTTCTTTTGACTGCAATTTTTTTTAAGCACTAGAAAGGCCATAAATACTCATGCAGGTGAAGTAAACCATAGAATGCCACGAGGAGCGGCTAAACACAGCTCTGAGGAACAAGCATTGCACAGCTCCTTCACCTCAAAGGAAGTATCAGAGATTTTGTTCACTAGGGAACCTTCTCAGCTTCTCCAGCCACAGCAGTGAGAATGCTGCAAACTGCAGAGATTCTGCACTTGAACCTCAGCCCTTGGGAGCCCATCTAGACTAGGGAGGATCCAACTGAAAGAAAATGAAATTTCTTCTCCAGTCTGGATGACCACTGATCAGTCTGTGGGTGGTACGACTGGTACCTCAATTTCTCCTTCACTAATGTGGTATATATTTAGGCTTTAGAAAGCCAGGCCTACACTTCACGGGTAGCTGGGATAGATTTACACCACTTGTATCAGCTCTTGTATTGAAGGATCTAGCAATTATAAACTCTCTTTCTTTTTTTTTTAAAAAAAAAGAAGTGTCGACCTGTATCTTCCAAAATTGTCCATCTCTGGTTCCTATGATGTCAAGAGATTGTTTTTGAAAATGGGTGTGACAGACATGTTCAGTAACGATGCTGATTTCTCTGGAGCTGCAAAAAATACCCTCCTGAAAGTTTCCAGGGTAAGTATGTGAGCAGGACCGCTGATCAAGAAATTTGCCTGCCCTCATTACATTATGGTTTTATCTTAAAAAATAGGCTTATCCCATTTCTAGATTTCAATAATGGCTCACTGACAGCAATACAAGAAGTTTAGGTATTAGATGGCAGTTGTTCATTGCAGTTAGCAAGAAATTGTTTCCTACATAACTATCCCACAGTCTCACTTTAAATCTCCTGACAAAGAGAAAATATCTGGAAAGGATAATGGGAACAATTTCACAAAAGTCTTGAGTAAATAATTAATACTGGAATCATAGTTATGACAGTAATTTGGGAATGATCATTCTTATTGCATAGAGCCTTTCTCACTGTATTAACTCCTCAGAATTGGTTTGTCACTATTATGTCAACAGAAAAAAAAAATTGTGTATACATAAATTGATGCAAAATGAAAACATTCCTCCTTGGTGTTAAATATTATGAAAAAGATCTTACTCAAAGAAACTGATGAACAATAAATTCTCTCCATGCTGCTCAATCTCTATAAGCAGCCAAATTTGACTCTGAAGAGTGAAAAAGAAATCTCTCTCTTAACTCAGAGCAAACTTTTCTTGTCTTGAAAAGGCCGAACAAGAGAATCTTTTTCTCACAAATTCTGTTCATTTTGTGTTCCCTCTTGAAAACTACTGCCTCTCAATGTTAGAGCAAACCTGTTTGTCACCCGCTGCTTCTCACTGTTCTGTGCCTTGATGTTTAATTTTTGCTTCCTTTTCAGGCAATTCACAAGGCCAAGTTGAATATTAATGAGAATGGCACAGAGGCTGCTGCAGTGACCATGGTAGAAATGAAAACTTTCTCTGCAATGTTTAGTCCTCTTGAAATCAAATTCAACAGACCCTTTGTGATGATGATTTTTGACAAAGCCACCAACAGTATCCTCTTCATGGGGAAAGTTGTGAACCCAGCTGCCACAGAAGACTAGCCAGAGCACTTATACTCCATAACAAAGAAGAGCTTGTACACATCTCAAAGAGTTCTTTGCAAAAAAAAAGGCCAGAATTGATCCCTAATTAAAAATTAAAAGAAAAAAAAAAGTATATTTTGTATTATATTATTCTTGTCTTTCAATAGACAGCTGGGAAAAACAGGAGCAGGTCATGCTTATGAAATGTTCTAGGATAAACATACAACAGTGGGATCTTTACAGACATTTCCCTACCTCATTCAATCAAAGCTGGTGTTGTGGCTCCTTGCATGCAGATAAATCATCCTCCCAGCTGAAAATTTCCCTGTCTCCCACATCTTGTATGTCTAAGCCTCAGCTCAGAAACTTCACCAGTCTACCAGCATCAGCTAGAAACCATCCTTCTTCTCACTGTGCCAGGATAAGTCTTCTTTGTCTTTGAAACCTTTTAAGTAATCATTGATTAAGCAGGGAAACAGAAAAAAAAGCCCTTGAAATCTCCTTGCCTAGATGACAGATGCTCCTAGATTCAGCATAACCCTTTTCCCTCCAGCCCAACCACTGCCTCCTACCAGCACAGATCCTTTGCATCCATCTCCATTCCTCATTACTTTTTCTAGAGTAAGAGTAAGAGGACCATCTTTTCTGGCTGGCTAAGAATTCAGCTTCTGTGCCAGTGGAGGCTGACTGTCACTGCACAAACGGTCTCTCTTAAGGTTCTTGTGCACATGGAGTAATGTCTGGGCTCCATGAGAGAACTGCATTTACTGGGCCTGCATGGCAAACTGTCCTCTCCAAGCACATTGTTTTTGTCCTTCCACATTGTATGTGCAGGAAAAAAATGGAAAAGAAAAGAAAAAAGAAAAACCAAACATGTACTGCTAAATTAACTTGCAAATCCTGCTTTCTGAGGTCATCTTCACTTAGGGAAATACCGGTGATGAATAGCAGACCAAATGAATTTCTTGCCACAACAGGATGTCACATCTGACTTCCAATTTTTCTGGAGCCATCTTTACTCTCACATGGCTTGCTCAAGTCAGTAACTCAAAAACAACTGTAGGAATTTTAACAAGATTTTTGGTCCAACAATTCCAAAGTAATGATGTCTAATTTAAATAGTTGGTGTTTGACTGTAACTTCTCTTTTCAGCTTTGGTCTTCCATGATTCAGATGTTATTCTCCATCAGCTATCTCCTCTGGGATTACTCCTTAGTTTCCATTAAAAGTTATTCACAACTTCTTCTGGACGCCACAGAGCCAGTCATTCCACAGAACACCTTACTAAAAAATCACGTTGTTCTTGCCCTTCTGAACTGTTTATCTCCATAGGGTACTAGGCCAAATGTATCTAGCCACCCACTAATTATGGTTGACAAATAGGAAGACAATTAACAACAGACCTTCCTTCTGAGTGTTCTCTTTAAGTATCCATCAGGTTGATCTCTTTACTGCCACGTGAGAAGGCAAAGGATGATTCTAGAAACACAGTCCTAAGATAACATTACATTCACTAAAAGTAGTGGTGTTCAGCAGGGACAGAGAACACATTGGTAGCCTTAATGAACTGTCATGAATTACTGTTTTGATCTCTTTACTGTGTCCTCTCAGCTTCAAGATATGATAGGCATCTACACACTTCACAAACACAGTAATAATACCTCCACCAAAAACCAATACCTCCAGTCTAAGCTCTGCTTTCCAGCTGAGGAGGGACAGGAATCAAAACTTTATTTGAGAGGGACTCGGGCTTCTAGCCATTGCTGCAGAGTATCAGCTTCTAGCAAGGCTGGGTCAGAAATGTTGAAAGTGGCTAGGTCTGAGAAAGTCCCGACAGATCATATGGATGGGAGAAAACAGGAATCTGAGGGATCTGCTTATTTGTTATGAGAGGTAATAGAACCTTTCAGATAGGCAAGAACAGACCTTACCCCAGACCTACTGGCAAAAAAAAAAAAAAAAGGTGGTAGTCAGCTTATTCACATAGATCTAAAGATACACTTAATACAAAATATTGTCTCTATAATCATCCCATTGTCTCTGTACTTTAAAGAAAGGAATACATTGAGGCCTGAAAAATGCTCCATGGAAAATCTTAGTCAGCTATGCCTGTCTAATTCATTTTTGCTCTCAGGAAAATCAAATCAATTGCTCCACCAGTTCTTGAAGAAGCAAGACTCCACTCCTGGGGCTAAGCCAAGGATTTCAGCTCTGCACAGAGGTGCCAAATTACACACTCTTTATCCACAGCTTCAGACTGCACTCTGTATTCACAACTACAGCTGCAGAATCATTGCTCACCTGCTTTGAGAGTGGTGGGATTTAGGTTAGAAGTTAAATGTTTGAGACATATTAGAGGAAAGGTAAGAATGAAGGAAAATGGGTAACTGTTCATTATTTCAATTTCTGCCTTCCCCTCTGAAACTTCTGGAAAATGAAAGCGAGACACAACCTAATTCTTATTGCTTAATTATAAATAAAAGAGGTCTGAAATAGGAACCTTTGCAAAATTCATGATTCTCTGCTTATAAGAGCTGTGAGCTTTTCTTATGGAAAATAGTGCAATTTGATTAAAAGCAGATATTTAAGATGAAAAAAATATTTCAACTGAGAGAATACTTCCCAGAAATTATTTCATAACTTGCTTGCAGCTGTAAACAAGAAGAACAACCACCTAACATTTTCAAAAAACAGTATATGGAGTGAACTAAGGATGTGCTGTACCCTTGCATTACCACGAGATAACGTCTCACTTTATCCTCCACCAGCAGAGCACCTGCAGATAATTAGGCACAGGGATGTGGATTTTGGTCTTTTATGACTTTTCTTGTCATCCAAAATAATACCATACATACCACAAACCCTTTCCATCCATGAGAACTGAGATCTGCAAGGGATCTTTACAGTGGTTTACCCCCATTTTGCATATATTTTGACAGGCAGGACTTTCTGTGCCTTCACTAAGCACCACTTTCCGCTACTTTTAGTGTCAAGACCCAGTCATAGAAAATTAGCATTACTGAGGTGCTCAGAGACAGCACAGTTCTTGCCAGAGTCACAGGGAGCTTGACCTGGCACTGCCTACAGGCAGTTCTAAGTGGGAATGGAAATTATATGAGAACTGCTTATGTTTTCTATTTCCAACAATATGACCTGACATCCATCAAAAATAAAGGTTATGAGAAGCAGTAGGGAATGGTGCAGGCTGCAGACTAACAGATTTGATCAGTGGCATGCTGCATCTCAAAGTTACTTTGAACTCTGTTAATTTATCTGAAATGCACTTACTGAATTAATAACAACATACAGATGCATAAATAGAAAAGCACAGAAAGGTAAACGGTTTGCCATTTGCTAAGATATAATTTTTTAAACATACTAAAACAGCTTTAAGCATTGGATTTTTTCTGTTCTAGATTTTTCAAGTGCCAATTTTCAGCAAGGTTGCAGTAATTCTCAGTTTATGAGGGATTTACAAATATTCTGCTAAGAAGAGACTACATTTTTTACCTGAGGACCTCAGATACAAGTTTGTTAAAAGAGTTCCATAAGACCATGGAGGAAGCCAAAGCACCCACACTGCTTGGATCTATCTTGGCAGCAGATGGTGAGCTGAACACTGATGGACTGATCTGTTTTGCAGAGCTAAGGAACACTTGGTGACAGACTCAGAAGCTGGCATTGCACAGTACAGAACACCTCTTATCTACATTCAGGCCCTGAGGTGACCAAAGCTACCACAGCTTCAGGAGGGAGGTGACTCAAAAGCCTTTCTTCATGGTATGGCCAATGCCAGTAATCCACTTGGATCACGCAGAACTGCTCCAAAAGTTTTTGACTGTTGGCAGAAGCTTTTTGGTGACTCGGAAGTTATTTCTAGCAACACGCTGAGCTCCCTGGTGGCTGAGAAGCCAAGCAGCAAATTTTCCATGAGCCCCTGGGAAAACTGCTGAATTAGTCAATAGCTATTGTCTGCAGAGTCAAGTGGATTTTCTTGCCAGCTATATTTCTTTAAAGACATGACAGTACAGGCAATGTGCAGGGAACTTGTAGCAAATGGGAACCACGAAGTTTTCAGTTTTTTAAGGCTGTAATTACTTCTAGTAATTTCATTGATTTCCAATAAACATCCTAGACCCTATTTGCAAATCTGTGAGCCTTTAGGCAAATATATCACATTTATTCCAAAATTTTGCTTTTCTATGTGCTGCTTTGAAGTCAGTGGGATCTACAGATTTGTACTGACTTCACTGCAAGTACAATTTATTTTAGCATTTAAATATGGCACTAAGAAAGGACACAGAAATCCACGACTTCTGTCTATTCCAGAATATTTTTTTCCAGACTGCTGCAGTGTCTGTGCTGCTCACTGTATGCAGTGTCTTTGCACTCCTCCTAGTTGAACACTCATTCAAGAATAAAATAGTCCAAAGTTAGCATCACCTATTGTTCTGTGAGTGGCAGTCTGCAAACCACTGAAATTTATCATAGGGCCAAAAAAATATCAGTAAATGAAGGGTTTTGACTATTCAGGAAAGGATCAAATTGACCCTGATGAAGCAGTTTGCAATGAAGAAACATGTCCCTCTCAGAATAATAGATGACATTCAACTACACTTGAGATGTTGAGTTTCCCAATGTTCCTGCTCTCTCCTCTACAGTTCTGTTGGGGAGGCCAATGCATGCACACAGATGGGGACAGCAGAAAGAGCATCAGGATCCTTTTCCCCTAAAAGAATCAGTATTGAACAAAAAAATTTCCTGCCTCACAACAACCTGGTGTCATAAGGGTTGCAGGCTGAGGCTGAGTTGTGTGAATGTCTTCTCATATGTTTTAAATAAATTAAACGTAAAAAATTCTAAACTAAAAAAATTGTATTTCAAGGAACAACTTTGAAAGCCCATCACTTTCCTTATCTCTTGGATTCCCCCTGCTGTTACGCAAGGAAAGTAAATTAGATACAACTTAAACATGATTTTGCTCTCTGGCTCAGCAATTGAACACAAATTCTTCTTCA